AGTTTCTGTGATGACTGCCCTTGTACTGTTCACCATGTAACTTATTCACTATGTAAGAATTCATTTGATCAATAAATATGAGAGATGCCCTCTCAAAAAAAAAAAAGTACAGACTTCCAACTGTAAAATAAATAAGTAACCAGGATGTAATGTATAGCATAAGGAATATAGTCAAGATATTGTAACAACTTTGTATGGTGATAGCTGGTAGCTAGAATTATCATGTATATAAATGTTGAATCACTGTGTTGTACACCTGAAACTAATGTAATACTGTGTGTCAACTACCCTTCAATAAAAAATAATTATCTACAAAAAAATAAAAATCCTCACCCCCACTAATGCGGTTACTGTTAACATAGTGAAACAGAATCACTGTATTGGGAAAAGCACCATATTTTAATACTGAGTAAAAGTTGACTGTTGTGAAAAGTGCCAGTGCTCCAGGTACATGAAAGATAAAGTTGGCAATAAATAGAAAAAGCCAGCATCTGTAGTGTTTGTGTGAGCCTGACAAAATACTTGGGCATCTTTATGTAAAAATCTTCAGGATGTTCAGTGACACCTGTGCTGGTGGGAGAAACTCTAGGCATGCTAGCCTGAAAGAGTGTTGGAAAATATTAATTATTCCTAGACAATTCTTAAGCATTTTCCTCCTCAACTTTTTCTAAAAGTAATGTCTTTAGCATTTAATTCCACTGTGGCTAGAATACAGCCTTTTTCACTAAGGAGTGTTACACTGGGAAAAGCAAGTGTTCGTACTGCTTGAGTATGAGTTAAATGCTAAAGGTCTGGTTTTCATAATTGCTAATGCTTGAAATAATGTTGATAAATCAGCAATGATAAATGCTAACATTTTACCTGACAATGAGGTTTGAAAATGAACCTGCAGGTAAAAATATTTAGGGATTTTATCACCAGTGAGATGAAGCTTGACTTCATTAATTATATCATATATTTTCATAGCCAAAACCAGATGAGTCAGAAGAAGCTGATATTGAAGAAATGCTGAACATTGATCATAATGCTTCTATTACACATTTCTCGGGCAATGGGGAAATGGCTGGAAGATTGTTAAACATATTTATGAAGATAGCCATGAGTACATTAATGTCAAAAATAATGGCTATATTGTGAACATTAATGGAAAGGTTGCTGAAAGCATTACGATAGGCAGTTGACCAGCAATTGCTGAGGCAGAAACATATGTTAATGATACAGATGATACTGGTAGAAATCTTTTTAAAAGGCCGTATTGGGTAGTACATTCTAAATCTAGCTCACCATCAAGGTGCGTTTCCAACCAGCCAAACCTGTCTCTTTATCCTCAAGCAACCAGATGTAATGAATATTTATTGCATGTACATAAATGCGTACATACATGGATATTTAACTTTGGTGTGTATTTAAAAGTTTGCTTAATAATTTCCTTTAAAAATAGAAATAATAAAGTATTGATAGTCTGTACCAATTCTATTTTTCATTTTTTAGTTTGTTACTACATATATGGTTACTATCATACAAATGGACTGTAATAGTATTTATAGTGTATCCCATTTAATGTGAGTACCATACATTTTCTAAACAAATGCTAATGTGTTTAATAAGCTGGGTGATGTTTGACCTTTGAAAAATATAGCAATTCTGAATTACAAAATATATCTGATGCCAAATGTCTTAAGAAAGAATGGTAGATGTTTACTATAAAAAAGGAGGTGATTTCCAGAATAGCAGAGTAAAAACCTCTGAAAAACTTCTCTATGAAAGCAACACAACACCGACAGAAGTTACCAAAGTCAACCTTGTTAGAACTATAGAAATTAAAACTTTACAACAATCCTAGGAATGTTTCTTCTAGAAAAGTGGCTGAATCTCAGTAAGAACAGCAAACTTTGTGGCATTTTTACTTGCCCTTTTTCCATCTGCCTTTCCCCAACCTTGTGGTAGCCTTAAAAACTAACAGCCTTTCAGCTATAGAAACTGTGAAAAATAACATCTTAGCAACTATGGAAGATTGTCACTATTTGACCTCTGGCAGTTCCCTGAAAAACTTCATTCTCAAAATTTGTCCCTTTTTTTACTTGACTTAGAGCTTCCTTAGTGAACAGCCCTATCCCCAGGGTGTTTGTCAAGATAATCAGTGGATTGCTTAGCATCACACCTGCTGGAGATAATGTTACCATTTGGCCCTAAGAAGAGCCTAATCAAAACACTTAAAAAGAAACACTGAGAAATGTCCATAGGAGGCTTTGAAAAGCTCTGACATTTTCTTGGGAATCTGACATGATTTTAGTGTGCAGGGCTGTGCATATACCCAAGAAAGGAGAAGACCCTAATCTGTCCCTTCTGGCTAACCTTGAGGATTTGTGTAAGTAGGAACTGAGGGCTAAATCAGGGTCATAAACTGCCCACAGAAACATTGTAAGTATGGCCCAGTGCACAGCAGAGGCTGGAAGACTTATTCATTCAAAGCATTTAAGGAAGTCTGTCCAGTCATTAGCAAGCAGAGACTTCAGTAGCTGCACACAACAGAGAATACAGGTGTTACACAATTAATCTGGGAAGGTCACTTAAATAAGCAGTAACAGGCAACATGAACCCCTGGGAGAAGCTAAAAAGGAATCTGATTTCCAGAGCTACCACAATATATTATTTTAAAAATTCCATCTGAGACACACAAGAAACAAAAAATTATGAGGCACACAAAGAAACAGGTAAGTATGCCCCCACACACACATAGAAAACAATCAATAGAAGCTATCTCTGATAAAGCACAGGCATTGGACTTACTGGACAAAGACTTTAAACTGGTTCATAAGAACTAATGAACTGTGTCTAAATAACTCAGTGTACAAGAACAATTTCCCATCAAATACAAAGTATCAATAAAGGGATGGGATTTATTTTTTAAAAACAGAGAACTGAGTAAATATTTAGGACTTGAAAGTATACTAACTGAAGTTAAAAATTAATTGGCGGTCCTAAGTGTCAGACTTGAGCCGACAGAACAAAGAATCTGAGAACTTGAAGATAGGTCAGTTGAGATGTATCCCGTGTGAGGAACAGGAGGAAAGGATGATGAAAAGTGAACAGCATCTTAGAGGCTTGGGAGATACAATCAAGAATACCAACAAGCACAGTGGACTCCCAGAAGGAACAGAGAGAGAAATGAGCAAAAAAGATTATTTTAAGAAATAGTGGCCCAAAGCTCCTCAAATTTGATGAAAAACATTAACCTGTGCATCCAAGAAGCTCAACAGTAATGGGGTATGGAGTTTCTTTTGTGATGATGGAAATGTTCTGAATTTGGATAGTCATGATTACACAACTTTGAGAATATGCTAAAAACCACTGAATTATACTCTAAAATGGTGAATTTTATGGTATGTGAACTGTATCTCAATAAAGCTATTTAATTAAAAACAAAAAAGGAGGATATTCTTTATATAGAGATGGAAAGATCACCAAGAGAAATTGCTAAAAAAAAAAAAAAAGAAAGGAATGTCACAATATATAAAACATGCAACTTTTTGTAAGAAATGAGGGAGATAAAATTCTGTAGCTTGACCTTAGATTAAAAAACATCGTAAGGCTTTGTGGGGCACTAATAGTTACCCAGAGGGCTGGAAATGAAATGATAATTGTGGTGTATGGAGACATTCTGAAAGAGAGACTGTATGTATCGACTATCATTTTAAACTATGTATTTTTTTTAAGACTCTAAATCCCTGTGAGGATTTAGTGGGGAATCTAGTGGGAGAACTAGGCCACAAATAAGTAAGTAAATATACATATTAAAATTCTTCCTTTCAATCTTATTTCGTAAGTTGATATTTATTTACATGGCCCAATATGTAGAAGAAAAAAAAAAACCTGATTGTCTAATGTGGGTAGGCAATTTCTGGACTGGCTTTTCTGTTGCTGTTGTTTAGAAGTTTCCTTCATAAATGAGAGATGCTTTAGAATGCTAGGCACATTTTCCTCCACAAACAATGCAATGAAGAATGAAGGAGTAGGTCATAAATTATAGATTAAATGCTCAGCTCACAAAAGCTGACTACAGTGTTGCTGAACTATATGACAGGACCATGAATACAGAATAGACCCATGTATTTGTTGAACTGACTAATGTTTTTCAAAAGATGCATCTGAAACAGGAGGTGGCAAACTTTTCCTGTAAAAAGCTGGGTAGTAAATGTCTTAGATTTTGTGAGATGTACTGTCTCTATTGCAATGATTCAACCCTGTCTTTGTAGTAGAGAAGCAGCCATAGACAATATAAAAGCATCTGGACATAGCTGTGTTCCAATAAAATGTTTTAACAGAAACAGGTTCTCGGTGTGGCCTATGGGCCACAGTCTGCCATCTTCCGATCTAGAATGTTCACTGGAGGAGAGGAATAAATGTATTCTAGTGCTTAACACCAAGAATACGTCTCCCTTTGTTCTGTCAATGGAATAGCTTTTTTTGTCTATCACAAGAACATAGTCCCTGACTTCTCTCGTTGTGGTAACAGTAGAGATACCTTTTGGGGAATTCATTTTAACTCTTATCCCTGAAGCAAAAATCGCTGAAACTGTGAGTCCTTTTAGGAGAGAGAAGCTGAACTTGTAGCTGAAGGAGTAAAGCGTTTGCCTGAGTACTTCATGCCCTGTGTTCCTCATCCCACTACTTGCCATGCTGCTATAGGACTTAGTAGAGAAAAACACCAAGATCTCGACTTTTGCCATTGCTAGCTTGACCTTAGCGAAAAAACTTCCTGAGCAAAGTTTCTCTCACTGAGTTTTGGTGTTCCCCTGTAAAATATGAAGAGATTGGACTAGAGATGATATTTATAATCTCTTTTGGTTGTAAAGGTGGCATTTAGGGGATTCTTGTAGCAGCATACTTAATACTGCAGATGGTTATTAAAGCAGGAACTTAACGTACAGTTCTGAAAAATTTGTGCCTCAAGAAATGTCGCTGTGGGTAACTAATTGTTGCACATGTTTATCTTTTAGGGACTAAGATGGATCTTGTACTCAGTGCTGCAGATTATCATTTTTTTACACCATACATATATCCAGCTACGTGGCCAGAGGATGATACCTTCCGACAAACTATTAGTCTCCTGATCGTGACAAATCTTGGTGCTTATATCCTGTATTTCTTCTTTGCAACACTGAACTATTATTTTGTCTTTGATCACTCTTTAATGAAACATCCACAATTTTTAAAGGTAGGTGATTTTTTTTACCTACTTTTTAACTACTGTTACAATGAAAATAACAACATATACAAGTGAGATTTTTCAGGTTGTAACCATTAAATAAAGTTTTTGAGACCAGTCCAGAATGGGTTAGATAATTTTGGTAAGTTTAATCCTTTCTCTTCTTCCCTTAATTTAAACAAATGAATGAATTCCTTTTTTTTGTAACTCTAAGCCTGGTATCTTGCTATGTACATAGACTAGAATTTCTTTGCTAATAGAGATGAATAACTAAACACACACACATTACTTGTTTTAATGCTTGACTTTCATAGACCGAAATATGTCTATACTACATATATTTTTCCTTGAACTAGATAGTGGATTCCAATTCAGTAGGTTTTTTTAGGTTTACAATCATTTTTCTATTTCAGTTATTTGCATTTGTCAGTTACTCCAACAGACTGGAAAACAAAGAGAGAGTTGGGGATGGAAGTTAATTATGAAAGAAATAATTATTCCATAAATAGAAATCTAGGATACAGGTTTTGAAAAAAAGTTTCAGAATCTAAAATATTTATTACATTTATTCAGTACAAATGAAGTGTTTTTGTGCACACCCATTCCCACATATTAACATTAACATTTTATGAGAAACAGTTTGGAGGTAAGCTCCTTTGTGTAAAACAGATTTTGAAAATCCAGTCCAGAACAATTCTATGCTAGTTTAGTTTAAGAGAGATTTTGTGATTTTTAAGTATTAGCACTTTTCATTTCAGAATCAAGTCTATCGAGAGATTACATGTACTATCCAGTCACTGCCATGGATGAGTATTCCTACTGTCTCATTGTTCCTGCTGGAGTTGAAAGGTTACAGCAAATTATATGATGGCATAGAGTTTCCAGGTGGTAAGTACATAATATGAGTGTCAGGCACAGGTTGGCTTTTTCAGAGAACCAAATCTGCCTCCAGTGTTTTTCATGTTCTACTTTTATGCATTCTTGCCCCATATGTGCATTTCTTTAATTTTATCTTTCAATTTTAAAGTCTTTATTGTAGATGAAATTGTACCTCAGGGAAGATGGGTGTGAGCAGAGATAGGCCGTTGCAGTAGTTTCCTATTAACCTTTATTGAGTTCAAACTTAAAAAAAAAGAAAGAAAAACTCACGTAGTACGTGATGACTATAGAAAAATCCGAAAATACAGATTTTTAAAAATCCTTTATCCTGCTACCTAGAAACTGACTCTTTTGATGCATACCCTTCCACTTTTCTATGCCTGTATATATACCTCATTATTTACAAAAATGAAACCCTACTGTGCATACTGGTTGGGACTGGTTTTTTTTTTTCTTAGCAATGTATGTGCCCATATTTTCATGTCTGTAAATACTGACATTATATAGTATACTATGGTATTGTACTATATAGATATCCATAGTTTATTTAAATGACCTCTAAGTTTTAGACCTTTAGAAGTGTTCTTTGTTTAATTATAAACAGTCCTGCAGTGACTCAGTTTTTGTGAAATTCTGAAATCATTTCATCAAGATACATTTCTGGTATCTAGTTTTGGAAAGTAAGAATAATAGTTTACATTTATTGAATATGACTATGTACCCACTACAGTTCTAAGCTTTTCACATGAATCACACCATTTCCTCTACATCAATTCTCTGAAGTAGGTACTATTATTATGCTGCTTTCATGATCGAGCACATTAAGTGTGCAGTGTCCATCCCTTGCCTAAATCACTCAGCAAATGGGTGGTGGGACTGGAACCCAGGCTTGCTGGCACCAGCACAACTGCTGTGTAGGTGAGAGGTCAGCTATTTAAAGGAGGCAACCAAAATTTCATACCGGAATGATGGCTTGGCAAGGCCTTGAAGGGTGGGTAGGGTCAGGAGTGGAAGTGTGAGGGGAGAGCATTCCAGGCATGCAGGGCCCAGTGAGTAAAGGTGCAGAGGGAAGACTTTGAAGATTCTGGGGGCCCGTGAGAGAGTGAGCCAGCCTCAGTACAGGAACCGTGAGGGGGGAGAGGTCAGAAAGGACTGGGGTGTGGAGTCCATGCTCAGCCTGAGGTTTCCAGTGGAAAATAAAATTCTAAACACCATCTTTATTGTGAAGATTAATATGAAGGAAGAATAGTGTTATTTATGCAGTAATGCCATTTATGATTAAGCAGCGTTATTCCCAGAGATTTAAATAATAAAGATGTCTCAGGATATACTTTTGCTGTCTCATAAATACCTTCATAGTTTAATTAAGAAGTATTTTAGGTGGGAACTTCAAGTTTTTGTGAGAGGGAAATGAGCAGATTCCAGAGACTCAAGGGAGATTAATTTATAATGTATTGAATTAGCCAAAATAGATAGTTTATAGTGTTTGAGTCTAGGATCCTGTTTTGCCTACTTAGGTGGACGTATAAGAAGCGAACTCTGACGTTGGAAGCCGAATCTTGATTCTGCTGTTCTCTCTTCTAGGCTGGTTCCACCTCATTGTCAGTGTGCTGTCCTTCCTCTTTTTCACTGACATGCTGATCTACTGGATTCACAGAGGCCTTCATCATAAACTTGTTTATAAGGTAGAGTCATTTCTAGGGGAAAGAGAAAATATGTGCATTTCAGCAGTGCATGATTGTATTCTGTTCTCTATTTCCAAGAATTTTCTCTAACTTAACTAGACACCTCCATTGTTATGACAGGTCCCAGATACATGTTGTTTGTATTCTACTCTATGGTCTGGAAGGGCTGTGTTAAAAATTTTACTGTTTTGGGGTGAAGAAGGAGGGCACTTTTTTATAGTGATTTTTTGCTGACTTCCAAAGGATTTTTTTTACTGAGGTCATTTCCACCCCATGAGTAGGAAAAGCTAAGCTGAATGTCGTGCTGGTTAAGTTTGTGGTGCTAATGGGTGTCCTTTTCCTCTGTAGCGCATACACAAACCTCATCATCTCTGGAAGATCCCTACTCCATTTGCAAGTCATGCTTTTCACCCTGTGGATGGCTTCCTTCAGAGCCTGCCTTACCACATATATCCCTTTATCTTTCCATTACACAAGGGGGTTTACTTAGGTTTGTACATCTTGGTCAACATCTGGACAATTTCCATTCATGACGGTGATTTTCGTGTTCCTCAAATCTTACGGCCATTTATTAATGGCTCAGCTCATCACACAGACCACCACATTTTCTTTGACTATAACTATGGGCAGTATTTCACATTGTGGGATAGGATTGGAGGCTCATTCAAAAATCCTTCCTCCTTTGAAGGGAAGGGACCACTTAGTTATGTGAAGAAGATGACAGAAGAAGAATGCAACAGCCTTGCAGAAAACAGTTGTAAAAATGAAAAGTTTCTCAATGGAGAGTTTACAAAGAGTGAGTAGATTATTGACCAATTATTCAATATTATTAATAAGGAAAAATAATCTGTATACATTCAGCCAAGAGACATAGCAAGTAAGTGGTGTCACTTGAAAATCAGCATTGTGGGTACCGCTGAGGAATGATCGTAATGGCAGATCAAGGGGTGCTGCTGCGCACCTCAACCCCATGCCTAAAATACTAGGTTTTGGTCTAAGGAACAAATTGTGTCTTTCTGGCCAGCAGATCTGTAATTTGTATCACCTCAACAATAATTTTTGTAAAGATAGAGAATAAATTATTGAGAGGACTACCAGAGGTTATGTCCTTCTGCCTCAATCCACGCATATTCATTAAGAAAAATTCACTGGGCTTAATAATACCAACACTAAATCACTGTAACAAATACTAATATAAAGATGGCTCCTTGTTTCAGGAATGCTGAATTCTTTTTTTTTTTGCTGAACTCTTTAAGTGTCGGTATGATATGACAATTTGTGGTAACCTTGTTCAAGTGGAAACAGCAGTGTAAAAATAATTCTAAAGAACATGTTAGATATACAAATGACCTAATCAATAGCAGATGTAATCATATTATCTTCTACACATAAGAAGCTTATTCCTTGGGGACATTGTCAAATACTACATTTTTCTGATGAATAAATACATTTGAATTTTAAAAACTATTGATACTACCATGATTTAACCCAGATCTAGTATTATTTAAAGATGTTGATGGTGATTGTTTTAAGCTGTTATTTAATAAGCATAGAGTTATGTGAATCTGAATATACTTAGGGAAATTTGATGCCCAAATAATATATTTGACACTACTGATTTTTTAATTAAATTGATGCACTGCACTTTCAATATGTTTAAAAGTTACAATCTTATAATTTTCTATAAAAGGAAATAACTACCAAATATTTAAGCTTATCACTGAGGATTAGTTTTGAAACCTCATTTTCCCATCTCTCCTTTGACTTTTCCCCACTTCCTCTGCAAAGAGATTTAACAGATGCTCTCATAAAGAAATGTTGGGTGTTGTAACAGCTATATTGGAAAGATAAGGTTTGCAAAGGCATTCTATAAGCTATTTATGTGAAATCAATAAAAGTGGATTATTGCTATTATTAAACTGTATCAGTTAAATATTGTAACAGCACAGAGTATTCTTTATACTAATTTTGTGTCAGTTTGAAACCAGAAATGATACGGATTGTCGAAACTTTTAGAATGTCCCCAAGTGACTGATGTCGAGAGGAAAGAGAGAGAAGGGAGTATCACGATATTCTGATGTTTCGGGTGTTTATTAGAGTTGAGTGTTTTGGCAAGAGCCCAATCATAAAATGCGATGCTCGGGACCCAGATGCCAGTGTGTCTTCCTCCTCGAGTTGCTGCTGCAGGGCTGTCTCACTCCCCCTGCTAGTGGACAGCCCGTGCTCTGTAACTCATCAGTGCAGCAGCGTGCTTTTCGCTCATTCCCCACTTCCTGTCCCCAGTACTCCACTTTGCCCGCGAAACAGAAGGAAAATAAGGAGAGGTAAACTTTGTTTCTGACAATAGTGGCAGCTAGTATTGGGCTTTTACTCTTGATCAGGCACCGTTAAAAGTCCTTGACATGAGGAAACTGGGACCCAGTTCCACAACTTTTCTTCCAAGGTTATTCTCTCTCATGTGAGGTCCACTGTGCTTGGTTCTGGTCCGTGGGCAGCTGTTCACAGTCATTCTGAGACTCAAGCTCCTTCTGTCTTGGGGCTCTACCTCCCTGCCAGTCTGCAGTCTTCTTTGCTGAAGGAACACATAGGGGAAGAGGGAAAAGTACACATGGGAAGTTGTTACGGGTCAAGCCTAGAAGCTCTGCCTGTGTTGATTTGCCAGAACTCAGTCATGTGCCCATGTAACTGAAAGAGATTGTGGGAAGTACGTCTAACTGTGTGTCTTGGACACGGTAACCAGTTTCTTTCTTGAATAGTTAGCCAGTTGTCTGTACCCGTGTAGTTATTCCCCTCTTCTTGAGGGTCCCAATAAAGGTATTAAAGAGATGAATGAGCTCAAAAGTATTTCAGCTTATCCATGCACTGGTTGTCTTAGTGTCCTTAACTCTGTAACTCCAGTTATGAGAGTGGAAGTTTCCTGTAAATTCTTATCACTGTGTAGCTAATAGAAAAGAAAGGACATAACTTACGGAGAGAGGGAAGCCTCCTCAGAGGTGTTAGGAAGAATCAAACTAGTCTCTGCCCTCCCATCCTCTTTGTTAAATTCTACTGGTGTTAAGCAGCATTACGTTAAGTAGTCCTAACATGACTGTGAGTGCTACCACCGTATCCTCCTGTTCTCCATTAGAGGAATTCAGAGACTATTCATGGGAATGAGGACCCATGTTCCTCCCCTCAGGAATGTCAAGTGGAAGATTACCTTGACTTTGAAACCTTTTATAGTTAGAGGACAGAAAGAGAAAAACACTTTTTGGTAGAAATTGGGTAAAGGATAGAGGTGATACAAGAACCATTTCAAAAACCCTGGAGACTTTTACTGAATATTTGTCTTCCTCTCTGCCTCTGTCCTGGTCTCTCTGTATGAATGCTGGCTTCCCACTTCTCATCTCCCTGTATCCTGTCTCTTTTTCCTACCATCTTCAAGAAGTCAGGGATGGATTTGTGAGTGCATTATGAGTTCCATTTTTGATATGTTGAGTTTATACAGCAATGATGTCTGGGAGGAAGATGGAAAGTAGGGAGACAAATCAAACAATACAAATTTGAGATTAACCCAGATAGAAGAAAAGTTTGAGACCATGAGATTGATTGCCAAGGGGAGCATGGACAGCTATCCAAAGAAACAGACCAGCTGAAGGGCAAAGGAACTTCTCTCATCTTCCTACCTTCTTCAAACTCAAAACACTTGACTGGAAGCCTTATAGCAGCACCTCCTGCTTTCTGTCATCTATCATTGTCATGGGTCCCCATTTATTCTAGACCCCAAATTCCTTCAAAGCAAAGACCATGCATGTGTGGGTCATCATTGTATTAAACCATGTGTTCTTACAGAACATGCTTGAGATTCAATAAATACTTTGCTGAATGAATTAGTGAAGTGGTGGAAATGTTATTCTCTTCAGTGAACATTTAATAAACCTCTAGGCGCCAAACACTGCACTAGGTACAAATGTTTACTCTGCAGACTCTTAAACTCTCTCTTGAGCCAACAATTCGCTTCTCACTTATTCAGTAGCTGACATTTGCTGAGTGCCTTGGGAGAGTCAGAAAGGGAAGTAAAGAGGACTCAAAGATAGACCCCACAACAAGGAGAGACTATCTTTTGTTCTCACTCGGTCATGCCTTCCCCTGGAAACAAAACCCACCAGCGCCCTGGATTCTGACCACGGAGGAAGCAGCAACGCGAGCATCGATTAGAGGGTTGAATGGGTCTGTGCGGCATTATTCCATAGCACTGTGCTCTGAATACAAAAAAAGATCCTCAAAACCATGGATTGACTACACTAAGAAATGACAAACCTAGGAGGCTATTCAGTAACTTCAGATGGAAGGTAACTCATCTCAGGAGTTAGAGAGACTGAGAACTTGAAACACTTTGGAATCCTGGCTTTGCCACTTGCAGATGACATGACCTTGGTTTCTCCATCTGTAAATTGATGAAAATACTGCCTACTTAATAAAATTAAATAGACTAGAAACATTCAGTTAAATGCCAGAGAGGCTATTATTCATGAAAATTGTGTTTAATGTTCCTTCTTTCTACGTTCAATGATTATTTTCATTTTGCCTAAGAAAGGCCCTGCATAGAAATCAATTGTAGGTAGAAAAAAGCCCGGATACTCTCACCTTCAAGTTGGAGGGTGAAAGATGTGAGGTAGGCTAGAGACAAAGGGTACAAAGGAAAATCAATGTAAGTAAAGCTAAAACTGCTACATTGTTTACTGTATATTTTCTTCATAAGAGTTGAAAGATACTTGTTAGTTGTAGCTAAATAATTGTATTTTAAAAGGGCATTAGTATAAACAGTAAGGCCAGTCTACAAAATTTTGAGGGAAAGTCAGAAGAAACAACTTCCCTGAAAGGTAAAATAAATGTACTAAGAGAGGCAAGAAGTATTTTGTGAACCATATTGTCGACAAGCTTTCCTGTTAAGGCAGGCTTTGGCATTGGGAGAAAAATATTAAATACTTGTTTTACTCAATATTTGCTTTATTAAAATACATTTAAAACATAGTTTTTCTTAAATCTTGAAGTTCAACTTGGAATGTTGCAACTGAGTAAGAAAGTTGGCGTCTCTGTCTTCATATTGTTTCCGTCTCCTTTGCTGCTTAATCTTTGGGTCAAAAAGCTTTGCAGCTCTGCAGCCCTGCGCGTAGGCTGTTCATCACCAACAGGGAATTTTGTTCATGACTTAAGATGGATGCAGCCAGCCCTTTACCTGAAACCTGCCTCCACTGAGTAGATGAAGAAGTATGGACAGAAAGAAGTATGATGGCTGGGTTGTCAAGGACCTATGGGAACATCCTGGCCTGACGCATGTCAACAAAATCACTGCCGTCAACCAGCCGAGGACAGGAATTTCACAGCCCCCCTCAGACTTGCTGACGTCCAGGTGTTTGAGGTCAATCATCACCTCCTGTTCTCAACCCCTTCTGCTCCCCCACTCCCTAACATAAAAGAAGTTTGAAATTAACCCTGAGTGAAGATGGTGCTTTGGGACATTGGTCTGCCATCTTCTCAGTCTGCTGGCTTTCCCAATAAAGTCGCTTCCCTTGTGCCAATACCTTGCCTCTTGACTTATTAGCATATCGTGCGGTGAATGGTATGAGGTTTAACTTGGTAACAGTCTTATTAAAAGACAAGTACAGTAAAATTTATATAAAAATAACAAACTACATTTTCATTTTCTTGATTAACAACTCATAAATATGACCTATCATATTCTCCTAAATATTTAACACCACTTACATATTGATTACTCATACTTCCTTACACATTGGATAAGAGATTTAATGTATTTGCTTCATCCCCCAAAGAGGCGGACTTGTGTACTTGACAGATTTTTCTAGACCCCTTGACAACTCATGATTCAAATATAAACATACTTAAGCACAAAATAGCATAAAGATACCAAGTTAGTCACTCAACTTTAAAAAATTCCTACTATAGGTTTTATTCACTTCTTATATCAATTTGTTATGTCTTCCTCTATTTTGAGATTATAATTTTACTCACCAAGCCTGTTACTTAGATGAACACATGGCCCATTTACATGTGCTTCCAAAGAAACAAACAGGAACCTAGAAATTAGTGCACATTCCAGTTTTTGACAGCAATTGTGACTTGTCTGCCCTCTCATTAGGATTTGTTCTTTTAATTTAATGGAGGTAAAATTTACATATAATAAAAGGTGCCTATTTTAACTATACAGTTCAGTGAAGTTTGACAGATGTGTACACCATATAATCACTCCATCAAGATACAGGACATCTTCACAAAGTCTTGCCTATCTCCCTTTGCAGTCTCTCCCCAGCCCCAGGTAACTACTAATCTACTTGCTGTCACTGGTCACTAATTTTGCCTCAAGGAATTTCATATGAATTGAATCAAATTGTATGCTCTTCTGTTTTGTTTCCTTAGCTTACCATGTTTTGAGATTCAGTCTAGCTGAAAGCATCAATTTTATTCATCTTTTTTAAAGAACCAAATTTGGATTTGTTGATTTTTCTCTATTGTCTTCAATTTCACAAATTTCTGCCCTTTTGATTTCCTTTTATTTTGGACTTAAGTTGATCTATTTTTTTTTCTCCTAACTTCTTAAGGTAGAAGCTCAGATAATTGATTTAATTTTTTTCCTTTATAAATGTAAAAACATTCAAAGCCACAAAACTTTGTCTAAAGCCTGCTGTGGCTGCAAAACACATGTTGTGTTTTATATTTGACAATTTATATTTGAACATTTCAGTTCAAAGATACTTTCATTTCAATGATATTTCTTTCACCAGTGGTGTGGTGAGCCTGTATTATGCCAACTTAGCTGAGCCAGAACTGTGTTTTCCAGAATTACTTTCCTGCGTAGCTCTAGGCTAGCATGGCTACCTGTCATTTGGGTGAGATTTGGAAGGTGGAAGTGGAGCAGCAGCCATCTTACTTTCACGTCGGGAAGATGGACCCGTCTATGAAACACTGTTGCTGCTCACTCAGTGTTTTTTACCTGCTGGCTCACCTTGTTGACCTGAGGTAGCATCTGGGCCCCTCTCTGGGGCAGCTGGAGTCCCTCTCTGATCCCCATCAGCTTTTCTAAATTCTGGGCCTGATGTGTGTGTAACTCCATGATGAAGGGCTCCAGCCTCTAGGCCTCTCACCTGCGGTGAGAGTGACAGGTGCCAGTCTGCAGTGAGCTCTGGCTCAACGTGCCAAGTTCAGGGGTGTCCTTGCCACCTGCTCATGCCCACCTGTCGGGGTCCAGGGCTTGCTGTTGAGGTCTTGGGGCGACACAAAGAGCAAAGAAGGAGGCGGGAGTTGTCATGGAAGGTGCTCAAAAGAAGCCACTTTATTCTGCATAAACCTGTACTTTCTATGCTGCTATAGTGCTAATTCATGGTTACATAAGTATTGAAGATGCGCATGAGTGTGGTCTTCATGGCCAGGTGTCCGGCCTTCAAGGCCCTTATCTAGCTCCTTACTCATGGATACAACAGGTGTTTTCAAGGTTTCTCAAGGCCAGACATACCCGGGGTGAAGCAGTGGACAGCTGACCTTACAGAACAGTAGGGGAAGTGTGGAGGGGGTGAGGCTCCCCTATGCCACCCAACATTCATCTTCCTGACTTCCTGCTCTGCAGACTTCAGATTCCAACACTAGACACAGAAACAGTCACCTCATACAGACTATAACCGGCTTTCACAGTCACTTATGGTCACATCCTTGCTTCTCAGAGGGAAACATTGATAAAGAATTTGGCGATGAAGGTCAGAACCTTAAGAACGAGTTATCTGAATTGGTCCTGTGTTATCTGCAATTGGTTCTCTGATTTTATTTGATTTAAAGACATTAATGACCTTTCCCCCAATATTAAAGGGGACATTGGAAATCCATGAGATGCAGTGGCAAAACAGTTACTTAAATAATCACCTGTAGATACCTGTAACTAAGTGCCTATGGAAGGCAAGGCTTTGGAGGAGCAAGTATTTTCCACATAGAACTTTCAGCAGAAATTAGGGAGTATAATGAGGTTGACTGATTGCTTCTAAGCATGCTGAGCAACTTGGGCAAAGAAAATGAGTTCATGACTTGAAATTCCCAGTTCAGAATCCAAATAAGCTTCTATAAACCCTAAAGCTACTGTAATTGCCCTAATATAAGCCCTTATCTCTTGTAGCTGTAGGACCAAGATTCCTGAAATCTACCACAAAAATTAGGGGTGCAGGTAGCAGATTAGATTCCCTGTCTTCCTGAGTTGTGATGTATGTTAAAGTTATGGTATTGATTGGAAAGGGATAGGGCTCTGAAAATGGGGTAGGGGTATTAAAAAGGTTCCAAATGGCAATTTCAGTGTGTGTGTGTGTGAGAGAAAGAGAGAGAGAGAGATGTTCTGCAGTTGAACTCAGTCCTGACACTATCTGCTCAGAGCAAAGTGGAAGACACTGTGAAGTCCGAGTTCAACCCTTTGTCTTCAGAAGAAGGAGCGAGTCCAAACGGATAAGATGAATCATTCAGTGTCACATGGTGAGTTTGTGGGCTGGAATGATGCTGCTGTTGAGAGGGTTAAAAGGAAGACAGAACATCACCAAAGCTCCCTCTAAAGTAACTATGCTAAATCACGGATGGCAGCACCAAGTGTAAATTTTTTTGCTTTTCTGGGGTTGTGGAAAAAGTAATCCCTTGATGAATACGGAATCACTTATTGGGTAGTCATAGGTAATCCTTACAAAATTTGAGTGTTCAATGTACCATCCTGTGGAAATTGAGGGGTTTATTCGGCAGACTTGTGGACTGGGAGCTGGCATGGAAAGGTCCCACTCCTGTAGGGGTGCCAAGCTTTGGCTACTTGAGTAGTAATTAGAAACTAAGTGCCCATTGGTAGAAA